CTTTAGAAGCATATATCTCTTCTTGGTCAGAAAAAATGTTTTGGCACACGATCATTGGTTCCAACAAACTTTGCAACTATTTCTTTGTCTTCAATTCTCTCACTCACAAAATCTTGATCTATTTCACTGTGATTGGTCATTGCATGAAGCACTAGATTCGTGGAAATAACCATGGCACTTTGATTATCACAATATAAAATGCCATTGCACAATTTTGATACCAAGAACAGTAGCAAGACTTCAGAAGTGAATGCTGCTATTGCTCGGTACTCCGCTTTTGTACCATACCACTTCACTATTCTTTGACTTTTGCTACACCAAGTACCAAATTGATGCTTATGAACAGACAATAACTTGTAGCAAATCTTGTTGTGCTGGAATCTCCAGCCCAGTCTACATTTGGAAGTCCCCTTAAAGAATTCAAAATCCTTAAGATTATATTTTAAGCAAAGCAGTAGGTTATTTGTAATGCCCTTTATGTAACTTAATATCCTATTTGCCACCTCTAAGTGATCACTTCTTGGACTATGCAGATACCGACATATCTAATTAACTGAAAGAAGTGGCAATGTAGAATTCCAAGCTGTAAATTCAGATATTTATTTCTTTTATTTTATTAATTACTGAAAATTATACTTACAAGTGTCATAAATATAATAAAATAGACCTAGTACAATCTAGGATCTTAATACCTTACTGCCACAAATAAAACTTTTATTCAAACTGAATAAAACTTAACTTTAGGAACTGAATAAACAAGAACAGCAATAAATAAAATTAAATAACTAAGGGAAGACTTACTGAATTTTGCCTAGGGTAAGGGCTTGGCACACTCCATACTCGATCACCTAACCAATGGCATACTCGACCCTAGAACCTGATGAATCGACCAATCTGAAACTAAGAAGAGGACTCCCTTTCTGAAACTAATGGGGCAAGAAAGCTAGGATCACAATTAGGGTTTCACAAAAAGCCCTCTGTTAACCTTGGGCCATGCCACAATTGGCATCTCTCCTAAAACTAAAGCTAGGGCTGGATGTGCCTCCTCTTTTTCTCTCTTCTTTATGTTGGGTGTGCTACCTTGGGAGGCTGGTGTGCCCCTTTTTAATAGAGAGAGAGAGAGAGAGAGAGAGGNGGCGGGGGAGAGAGAGAGGAGGA